AGAGGCAGAGACACACACAGAGACAGCGAGACATATGGAGAGGCAGTGATGGGGAGTCACAGTCAAAGCCCAGAGACAGATGTAGAGCCCAGGGCTCAGAGGCTAGAGAAAAAAAAAAAACGCACTGCCAAAAGGCGCACACTCGATCTTCGATGGGCTCTGATGGGTGCTGACTCCTCTCCAGCTCCACTCCGCAACGCTCGTCGGAGTTCGCTGCCGTCGTATCTAAAGCTTAAGGCAAACAAAAGACCTGCAGGCCCCGCGGCATCAGTTACTTTGTAATAATCCCCCCCAACTAACAGTTGCAAACACACTATAAACGAGCGAGAGCACAAATATCTCCATATGGTCTCCATAGCGAAGGGGGAGAGAGAGAGAGAGAGGGAGACTGGGTAGGGAATGACTTTCTGATGATGACGATGATGGCAGTCTGTCAATGCAGTCAGCAGCATCAGCCAGCAGCAGCAGCAGCAGCTTATCAAACAACTAGAGATGGCAACGTGATGGAAAAAGAGTTTCACATTTATCTATGATTGGAATTTAGAGAGGGGAACTTTAGATAATAAGTACAAGAATATGAGCATAGAGACATGAATCTATTGCTGCCATTCAATGAAAATTAGAGAGGAACATGGGGATATTACATTATATAAAATTTGTTTTAGTTTTGGGTAAATTTACATATGAAATATTAGCCGCGAAAACAAACAAACAAAAATTCTCATAATTCTTTCTCGTTTACATTTTTTTTAATTCTGTATTTAATTTTGTTAATATACATATTTCAATGACCATTTCGAGAGATCCTTTAGGTGTATTTTTACTATTTCCTGGCTGTTTATATATTTTCCTGAATGTTCTTTAGGGTCTACAATTTCATAATTTGTTCTGTAGATTCTATGATTAATATTTTATATTACATATTTGCTCTATGTAAAAACGATTTAAACTTTTATTCATTAAAATTCTGTAAAACTTTCTTAGTGTTTTTTAATGGAACTTCTCGCTGAAGTTCATTTATTTGCCATTCCATAATTTTTGCCATAACTTTGTCATCGCCAGCGTGCAACCGCACAGCACCACGTCTTTCATGCTGTTGCCTGGCTGCCTCTTGACTCTGACTCTGTTTTCTGTGTGTGTCTGAGCCCGCTTATTGGCATTCGCCATTTCCCGCTGATTTTTCGTTGAAGCCATTGTCTTTCCAGCTACGTTTCAGATACGTTTTTCAATGGTGTTTTCGCCTGCTGTGTGTGTTGCTGCTTTTATGTTTCTTTTTCTTTTCTTTTTTTTTTTTTTTCTTTTTTTGCTGTTGTTGCTGTTGCTGCTGTTGTTGGATGGCGCGTCAGAAACTCGTGCAACGGGGATCAATCTCTCCATTAGAGTCGTCATCGCTGGCTGGCTGGCTGGCTTGCTGGCTGTGCTGCTTGTCTGCCTGCCACTTGGTTATTGCATTGCAGGAGATATGACGACAGGAGACGTGGGGAGCGAAGCATTGACAAAAGGCAATGTAATGACGTTTGCGTCATGAGCAGCAGGCATCTGAAGCAGCAGCAACAGCAACAGCAACAGCAGCAGAAGCAACGTGTGGCAGGCAGCCTTTAATATGGAGTATCTTGTAGCTGTATCTGTTGTCGTGCACTTGTGGAGCTCCCTCCGTCTCACATTTCGCATAGATTGTGTAATCCTCGGCAATTGGGTAATCCATATGGCCAATATAAAAAAATATGCAAAAATACCCTTCGAAAAAAAAAGCAAAATCTCGCAACCATATACAGCTTTTATTTGAGTTAGATCTGTGAGATACATTTGCATCTTTTGCATAGTTTATCAATTTGTTTTTTTTTTTTTTGGAAGGTGGCATTGAGCCTTTTTGATAAATTGCACGAAACGAAAGCAGCGGAAGCAGCTGTATCTGTGCACCTACCAAATGTATCTACAGCGGTGTAGCTATAAATGTATCTGTATTTGTTGTAGCTCCATCGAATGCTGCATAAATATACAAAACGTTGGAGACAAATTCGAACAATCAATCAGCCAGAAGAAGACGACGGGGCGGGGGCACACTCAATGCAAAATGAATGCTAAATTGCTTATAAATACATTTCTGACATTTTCTTATGTGTCTGTGTCTGTGGGGGGGCGCCCAAAAGCAAATATATAAAGATATTAAAATTTGGTGGAAACACAAGAAAGAGGAGTAGTCCAGTAAAGGTGAATGAGGGGAGGCTTGACCAGAAGAAAGAGTAGTGGAAATAGGAAAATAAATGGTTAGAAATACCCAATATGGTGGCTCTTACACTATGCTTAAAGAAGTAATGCCATTGAACCAAAGACAATATAACAATTTATTATTATTATAATATTTTCTTTGATTGAACTCTCGATTAACTGTTGCCATTCACAAATTTTTACTGGGTACCCAACCCATTGCATAGTAAATTTCAGTTTTTGCTGTCAGAATATTCAGCTTGCAAACTTTATAGTAACATTTTTTTTTAATACAAATTGCAAAAAATTTGGTTTTTTGTTTTGTTTGCTTAATGAATTTTAACGAATTTGGATTTTCGTTGAGTTCTTGTCACTTGCATTTTGCACATTGGTTTTGTTCAACTGAAATTTAAGTGGGTTTTCTTTTGTTTCTGAAAACAGTTTATTCAAAGAGCTCTTGGAAATTTTTGAAAAATATTTTAAAACACGAAAATTGCACAAAAATTATACTAAAAAAAAACACTTAAAATGAAACAATATTTTTGATTTTGCAATGCGAAATAATATTTGCCAGCAAAAAGGATCGCTGATAAAGGAATCGGTTGTAAATGCATCGGTATAAAATGTATCGTGCTGGTGGCATTAGACTAGTCCATCTAAGCACGTGCGCCTACAATAAAGTTCCAAAATTTATTGCCCAAGTTGCACACCAAAGAGGGAGAGAGGGATAGGGATAGGGATAGGGGTGCACCCACTACAAACCCCTCACTGCCTCACACTCTCCTCTGGTGTCCTGGCTGCGTATTAATGTTGCATGTTCATTTGGGTTTGCGTGTGGCAGGTCTTCCTCTGGTGTGCCGCCCGCCCGCCTGCCGTTGCTGCTGCTTCTCTCATGCTGGTTGTAAATTACGGTGGTTACCCAGGCAACGCAAACGAATCGAAACGAAACCCCCAACCTCAAAAACCCGCAACCCCCAACCCTTGTTGCAACCCTCGGAAGGAAGAAAGGAGTGTGTCTCTCTCTCTCTCTCTCTTTCGCTCTCTGTCCTAACGAGCCTCGCGACAGCTGATGGTCAGGCCCTTTCCTGGGGTCTGTCGTTGGTTTTATGGCCACCAAAAGGCCACTGAACCGCACCTTAAAACAAAAAAAAAAACAAAAAAAAAAAGAAACGAGGCAGCAGTCGCTCAAGTAAACTATGTGGCTTGGAGTTTGATTAAAACAGAGCAAGAGAGAGACATCGAGAGAGAGAGGTAACTACAGTAATAAATGGCCATGCATGGACACAGGGGAGCAGCAGACAGCCTCAACAGAGCTCTCAGGTCTCTCTCTGCCTTGAGGCCTCTGCCTTTTGCCGGTTCTTGTTTCTTCTTTTTTTTTTTAATAGTTTTAGCTTGACCTCGTCACCGGTTCGCGTTTTGGCCCAAACACCGGGCCGGGCCGCGCCACGGCTGCCGCTCCCCTTCCTGCTGTCCCGCACCGTACCGCCTGCTGTCTTTCTCTTCCTGTTGGCCCATCTGTTTGGCCACTATCTTCTTCTATATCTCTGTCTCTATCTCAGTCTCTTTCTCACTCATACTCTCTTCTGCCCTTTGCTGTTGTTGTCTGTATTTTGTCATGTTTCATGTCGGAAGTGGAAATTATTCCGCAGTGCACTTTGCCATTGCCATTGCCCTGGTGACTGATTCTCCGCTCCCTGGAGTTCCCTTAGGGTCTCACTCACTCTCTCTCTCTCTCTCTCTCCCTCTCTCTCTCTCTGTTTCGTTCTGCCTTTGGGGTTTTTCGTTCTCGTTTTCATTACATATACCCCGCGCGAGATATCGCAATCCCTTGGCAAAGTCATTGACACACCTGTGGTAAGCATTATCTCACGGTGGTGTGGCACCACCAACCAGCCAAACGAACGAAATGATGGCAGAGGCGGGAGGTTTCGGTTACCCCCAGAGACAACGGGGAAGATATGTTTTGCCCCCCAACTCTCTCTGGGTTCTCCCTTAACCACACTGATGTCTCTTGTTCTCTGGAGATTTAAGCATTTTGCAGGCGTTTGGACCTTCCTTTGTGTATTTGCAATTTTGTTGATTGTTAAATGTGATGGATATTTTTACAGCTAAATTATGCATGTATTTTATTTACCACACAATCATATTTAAATATGCATTAAAAAATACCATGGAAACTCTCAATGGTTGTTAAAATGGGTCTAAATGATTATCTTTTGGCTAAAAACAGTATTGAAAGTGGAGTGGAAAACGGACATAAATATGATCTCATTTTTTTTGTACCAATTTGTGTATGAATTTGGTATAAATTATTATCTACTTATATTCGGGTCTAAACAGACAATGGAGGAAAAACCAAAATGAATTATTTAGAAATTTTTAATATGTATTAAACAGGTCTAAAAGTTAAAAGACTGACTAAATAAATTATTCTTTGAACACTTTAATGCAGGATAAATGGCAGTTGAATACTTGAAACTATTGGAAATTGATATAAACTACCATTAGTGGCCTTAAAAAAGTACTAAAGGTGCTATTAAACTAATGAATAGCCAAAAAAAAAAAAGGTAAAATCAATATTAAAATGGTTATAAGCATCCAATATGCTCAATAACATATTTAATATTTTTATTAATTTGATTTTGAAGACAAAAGTGTCTTAATCTTTCTTCCCACTCCTTTGTTCCCCGTCAAAAGCATATGAAAAACCTTAAAACTTCCAATATGTGTGTCTTTTATAATATTAGCTGTCATAAAAATGTTCTTGCACTTAATTTCGTTTCTTCTTTGCTTTCAGACAATCAACAACAATTTACCCTGCAAAACTTAATTCAAATGTCACACGCAGCAGCAGTAGAAGTTCCAGGTGATTATCTAAGCTCTCATTAACAGTTACTTTTCACAAACCCCCTCCCCCACCGCTCGTCTTTTTCTGTGTCTTTAGCTGAAAAACAATTTCCCAAAATAATAGTGGAAAATTCTCCCGCACCCCCCCTCTGCGCACCTTTACTAAAAGTTCAAATAACATTTTCCGAAAACCATTTTTCCGATGTTGGTGATAATTGTGGCACACACAGAGAGCCCGCAGTTGGTGGCAGAACCCAATCGTTACTACTCTCCTCCAACCCCCCCGCCCTCGTGACTGTCTGTAATGACCCTTATGTGAGTGGCACAAACCTCAAGTCGACATTTGCCACGCATTCCACACGCCACACTGCGGCACTCGACTCGACACACCATTGCCATTGAAGCAAGAAGCTAATGATCATTCGATTTCGATTCATTCAAGGGGGAGAATACTGTATTATTATGATGGTTCTCAGAGAGACAGAGAGAGAGAGAGAGAGAGAACTGAAATTCAATTAGATATTTATTGATGATTGATTTTTACAGAGTGGGAACACGATCTTTCCCTCCCTCTCTCTATCTCTCTCTCTCTCTCTCTGTGTCTCTGTGCATGTGGGAAAAGTGACCGCTAATTGTCTTTAATTCAATTACAGAAACATCCAACACACAAGTTTACTCCTCAATTGGTTGCTGACCTAACAACCCAATACTCATACTACTCCTACTCTCCTCTCTCTAGCGCTCTCTCTCTCTCTCACTCTACTCCCTGATTATAGTGATTTCATATTGCAGATGATATTGAACGATTTTGTTGTTGTATGGATAGATTATATTATATTTCCGCTGTTTAGATACGCCAAAACGATACGAATACGAGAATACAAATAAAACAGACAAAAAAAAAAAAAACACATGCATGGCACATAAACAGACTGAAACAATCTATAAGTTTATTGATATAGTCACTGATATACCGTATATCATATCACACACACACACACCATTATGCTCTTTCTCTTACTGCTGCTCTGTCTCTTTCTCCCCGGCCTCTTGCCCTGTGTCACTCAGCCGTGTGTCATTTCAACAAGCAAATCAAATATGAAAATATTCATAAATATGTGCAATTCGATGAGCCTTGTTATCTGTTCATATTTTGTATATGTACCCACAGATACATGCATAAAATAGACACAAGAGAAGACAGTGGGAAAGTGTTAAATGAAAGCCGTAGAATAGTGAAACTTTTAGAATTTTTGAACGAGCGAAAATAGTGAGAAAACAATTACAAATTACATTATTTTTTGCACTCTCAAGAAAACTTTTAAATGCGTCAAAAAATGGCACTTTTCAAGGCCTAAAGTTCGAGTTAAATGTGAGTGAACTATCAGAAAGAACATTATAATTTCCGTTATATGGAATGCTAGAATAATAATAGAATAATGGCCTAATCTAAGCAGATATTTCAGTATTTTTTATATGCTAAAAATTTTTTTATTAAATTCCAAGTAATATTTTTTTTTATTTACTGAAGTTAGCGCTGCATTTAAAATTAATATCTAAGCTTGCAGCAGTTACAGCTACTCTCTAGGCTCCACTGTATCCCTATTTGTCTACACAAATATCTAGACCGTTCCGGGGAAAAAGCTAATACTAGACTCCGTTGACTTCGTGTGACACAAAATTCTACTTAAAAAAAAGTTCTTCCAGTTACAGAGGTTCTACTATGTCTGTAATATCCATTATTTGTTTACGCTTTGCTTTGCTTTGCTCTGCTTGGTGTGTCGCCTTAATTTGAAAGATATTGTAAACAAATATCGTTAGGGGACCATTATCAATCGATAGATAAGAGACACACACACAGAGAGTCGCCCCCCTCTACGTTTTGGGGGGCGACAGCTGACAAAACTCGTGCTCCCCATGCACCACTCACTGTCTCTTCCTCTGCAGCTATCGATCAATGAGTGGGGATCGGAAATGGATCCGCATCCATGTGGTCTCTAGGTGCCTATGGCATTCCGGGCATGAAAGAGATAGATAGATAGGTTGCTGGGTGGCATGAGAGACTCTCTTTCTTCGTTTTGCCGTTTTTGCCGTTTTTCGGAATGCAATTGTCTGATCGAAGCTTCCCATTGCACATGTGTGTGTGTGTGTGTGTGTAAGAGCATGACTTTGCCCAAAGTTCTGTCTGTACGCTCTCGCTGCCTTTCCTGCTCTAACTCTCTCTCTCTCTCTCTCTCTCTCTTTCTCTGCTGCCTCTGTCTTTGCTTGTTTATTGTTTTAGTTGCTTTTGCTCTGCCTTCGCTTCGCTTTGAGCAGCTGCTGCTGCTTGCTTGCTTGCTGGCTGGCTTGCTGTCTGGCCTTAGGGCGTACATATACTTACATATACATATATACACACATATATATGTACATATGTACACGGTTCATTTTAATTGACATCGATAATTAAAAAAAAAAGGAAAAAAATAAAAAATAAAACAATTTTCTGTTGTACTTTTTGCTTAGTTTTTTTTTCTTTGCCGCGTGCGCTGAGCTAAACAGTTTTATGAAGCGACCAGCACACCACCCCACCCCACTCCACTCTCTTTGTATTTTTCTTTACATATTCCATGATCTATGACCTCTATTTCTCTCTCTCTCTTTTTTTTTTTTGCCATTGTCTATGGGAAGTTGCTCTACTTTCCCAAGCCACTTACTACTTCTCAAGCTGCTCCCTCTCCACTCCCTCTCTCTCTCTCTCTCCCGCTCTCCTACTCTCTGTGTTTCTGCTACCAAAGGTCGAGGTAAAACACTTAAACGACAGCGATAAAAGTTGTCTCACTATGTGTCTCTCTCTTTGATTCTCTATCTTTTCTAATTACCCAACAATTAATAAAGTTTTGATATCTCAACGACGACGACAGTCAAGTGTTTGGCGGGCACTGATTACCGGAATCACAGAGAATGTCTCTCTCTTTATCTCTCTCTTTCTATCTGTCTCGCTCTGTGAGAATGCGGAATGACTTGGAGGCACATCAGGCAATCGTTTATTGAAATATTGATAAAAAAGAAAAGGTATACAAAAAATACAATATTTTATGACTCTTTGGGCCCCCACACCATGAATGTTGTGGCTATAGATAAGAAATTCTTGCCTCCCAAACGGTAGCAGCAGGCGGTTGCGGTGGCGCCTTCTTAATTGAGGTGCAATTGGGGTTTTTGGAGGTTCTTTGGTTTAGTGTTTTTTATGGTGTATGAAAACTGATAATATGTGGTGTAAAAGTCATGGCAGGGAATACTTTTACTTGAAGATTGTGCCATTGGGTACTTTTTTGCCATCAAACTAAGAGAGCAGCTCTTTGGAGATTTCTTTCCTAACTGGAAAATCTTTGGAGATTTCTGTCCTAACTGGAAGATCTTTGGAGATTTCTTTTATTACTGGAAGATTGTTGGAGATTTCTTTCCTAACTGGAAGATCTTTGGAGATTTCTTTTTGTTTAAACTCCAACAGCATTAAATATCTTGCTAAATTTCATAGTTCAATGACTTTTAAATCAATTTTTCGTCACTTAATCATTCAATTGCTCAAATTCTCACGATCAAAAATGTTTCTTAGAGTTCTAAAATTGTTTATTATGCTTGAGTTTGAATTTCCATTTTGTTCTAGCTTCACATAATCTATAATGGCACCCAAATGACTCAATCCCCAAAGCAAAAGTACATATATTTCATCATTCCATAATTTTCTCTCTACTTGTATTACAACAAAAAATACACTGCTTCAAGGCGAGAATCCCAAGACGAATTCCTAGCAACAGAAACCCCAGAAACATTTGCCAGCTCAAAAAGTCCAACTTAGCCAAAGATAAACAATATATACTACATGTACATAGCTACACTCATACTTGCATATATATGCATTTATATTGTAGTTTTGTTGTAGTCTAGCTTACATACATATGTATAAGTGTATTTTTTATCGTCACGTCGCAACTATAAGGCATTATATAATGGCGCTTGGGCTTTGGGCTCCCACAGTATGCCGCTACTGCCAGCCAGCCCCAGTTCTCCGATAAGAGTTCCAGGCATAATTTGTGGGTCAAGTACAAACCGCCAAGAGTAGAGCGGAGAGGATTGTTGCGAAAGCAGACTCTGTGATCCGCTTAAAAATACAAATATCTTTTCTATCTATCTATGAATATATTTTTCCTTTATTTTTGTTCTAGTATTTTTTAGTCAATCGGTTTACAATTTACTTTTTATTGTATTCCAAAAAGAACCAATGGCAATATGGTTTCTTTTTTTTTTTGATAGTTTTTTCTATAATTATTTTGATTGGTTTTCTATAGAACTTTTGTACATTTGTATTAGTTTTTGTATCAATGAAATTTCTATAGATTTGCAATAGATATTTTTAATAATTTGTAATGCTTTTTGTTATTTTGATTTTTAGCTTTTTTTGTAATTGTTAATTTCTTTCTTCTTGTTTGCAAATATTTTACCTTTTTGTTAGATTATTATTTATTTATTTCTCCCGCTCTCTTGATATTTTCTGCTGTTTGCTGCTGCTGCTGTTGCTGGCACTGTTGCCTGTCACTTTTAACTGGTTTTTATATAGCCAGATTGTTGTTGTTGCTGCTGTTGTTATTTTGTTGTAGTTTTACTTTTCAGCTGCACTGTAATTGAAATATTTGTTGCCGTTGTTGTTGTTGGTTGTAGCTGTGTGGAGCATTTCAAATTGTTTTGCACCGCCCACTTTTTGAATTATATCTTTTCTATCGCTTTTGAATTTTTCGCTTGATTTATATATATGTATATCTAGACGCACACACACACTCACACGTTGTACAATTTCGATATTAGTTATTTTTCTGTTGCGTTTTTTTAATAAATCAAAATTTTTGTATCACAATTTTTTGGTTTGTTTTTTTCTGCTTCTGCTTTTATTTCTTTTAGGATTTTAAATCAATTTAATAATCCTAGAGGGAGTGGAAAAGGGGTGGGGGTTATATCATCAATGGCATTATAATCTTGTAAATC